GATCCTTCCGCTCAGCTTCCAAGTAGCCGGAACTACAGGTGCGCGCTACCACGCCCGGCTGATTTTTTGATTTATGGTAGAGATGAGGTCTTGCTGCCCAGGCGGGTCTCGAACCCGCGGGCTCAGGCAATCCACTCACCTCAGCCTGTCATGGTTTTCACATCTGGAAGAAAGAAAAGCAAGTATCATATTTCTGAAAGAAAGGGGTCATTTCTGAGCTGTCCCAAACCGGCAGGCAAGATAGAGGCGATGACCCCGACTTGTCCATAGCAGGAAGCAAAGGGATGAAGAGTCAATCAGAGGCTATGGTACAGATGGAGCATTCTAGTGCGACTTGCTGTTTTGAGTTACTTTCCCTCTCATGAAGTCTCTGGAAACAACCTTGCGTCCATCGCTTCTGTAGCTGCACCAGCCTCTAAGGCGGACAATTTGGGAGGAGTTGGGGTTGTCTATTTCCCAATTGCTCCTCAACCTTAGTGCAGTTCCCCTTCACTTGTGAAGGCTCCGAGAGCCTGTCTTTAACTGGTCCTGCTAATTTTTTGCCTTCTCCCCACCACTGCTTCCACCGCGGGGTTGGGTGAGGCTGGGGTGGGTGTGTACAAGCCTTTCTGGCTCTTTCTTTCTCACTTCCCGAGTGGAGCCGGGCTGCACTAATTGACCTCGAGGGTCTCAGCTGTGCTAAGTGGGGTGTTTGTGAGATCTCGTTAGGCTTGTAATTAGTGCAGGGAATCTAGGTCACAAGCCACGGGTTGGAGTGATGGTCTCCTGGGGCAGGAACCAAGGTGGGGAATAGCAAACAGGCTCTCCGCTCTGTGGGTGAGGTGAGCCGGGGAGGGGAGCGCTGGGACTCATGTGACACACACAGACAGACGGACACGGGGTCACGTGCAGAAAGGCGCTCAAACTCGGCCGTGTGTGTGTGTGTGTGTGTGTGTGTGTTCGCTCCGCATTTACTCGGGTTTCCTCCCAACCTCGCCATATATGGTTTGGCTCTCGAGTCGGCTGGGGATTGGCTGCCGTTGTTGGGAGACTGGGAGGTAGGAAGGAGGCAGAGGAAGAAAGGAGCCCAGCTTGGGGAGGGGTGGGGAGGGGTTGGGGAGGAGAAGGGGAGGGGACCCAACCGAGCCCTGGGGCTGCAGAGGGAGCGAGGTCTACTTGCCTGGGAGGTTTAGGCAAGGGAGATTCCTGGGGACTGGCCTCTGGGGAGGATGGGGTACATGTCCTGTAGGCGTGTCCCCGGGGTCAGAGCTCCAGGCTCAGCGCAACATGGGCAGTGCAGCTAGAGCAGGAGTTGGGGAGAAGGTGGACTTTTCTTTCTTTCATCCTCGACAACCCGTGCTGGGGAAACAGGGTGCAAATTAGCTCATGGCCTCACAGGCCAAGGCCTAGGTCGTCTTCCTAACGGAGGATGATCAGAACCCTACAGCACCTTTCTCGCTTCCCTAGCCCCTGGGTAACAACTTTACAGGGAAGACCAGGACACATTGAGGAGAATGTTCTGGAAATACACATTAAGCATTTAGTCCTTTACCTGCCTTTACCCCTCTCCCCGGCTTTCCCCATCTCCCCATCCTGGGGCCTCCCAAGGAGCTTTCCTTTTCCAGGCCAGGTGTGCAAGAGAGTATAGCATAGTTGCTGGGAGGGAGGAAGAAGAAACACTCTCGGAAGATGAGCCGGCAGCCGTGGAGTGAGAACATTGCCCCACGTAGCTCGGGAGCTCTTCTTGGCCACAATTCCCAGGGCCTGGGAGGATGAAGGGGAAGCCTGCAAGTCAAGGGACTGGAATCACGGTGTGAGGGAACAGAAGTGCCGGAGCAGGGAGACAAGAGGACTGCAGGGCTGCCCACTGTCAGAGCTGAGGCTTAAACACATACGCTTCATTAACAGAAATCATGCCAGAAGCCCACCACAGAGGTACACTTTTATCAGTTTTTCTAGAGAAGCCTGGTGTTGTGCTAGGCTCTGAAATTCTTGAAGACCCATGACCATGCTGTTCTAGCTCTTGCCTTTAGCACCATACCTGGCTCTTCTGAAGAGGGGTGAGGTCACTGCCTGTGGCCAGGTGCTAGCTAAGTGACAGTGACTGAGCCCATGGCTTCCCCCTCATTCAGACCTTGCTTTCACCACCAGAGCTAGCTTCTCATTGCCCACTGAGTTAAACTAGTGATAGTCGCTGGGCAGCCACATTGACTGCCAGGCCTTCTCTATACATTGTCCTAACCCATCCAACAACTATTCTGCAGTCTGCAGATGAGAACATGATACCCAGAGAGCTTGGGCCTTGCCCAGGGCCTCAGAACCAAAAGGAAGCATGTGAATTTGAATCCAGATCTGTCCGGTTTCAAACTGGGTTCATTTCACCACCTTGTGGCCCGGACGTTCCAGCAATTTCTGGAGAGCTGGAAGCTGTTGGTTTTGGTGCCTGAAGACCCCAGAAGCCGAGTGCCCAGCTCTTCTCTTAGTACCTGAGGTCCTGATCTCTCCTGCTTCCTCTCACCTGTCAACCTCCTCTCCAATGTCTCTATTTTCTGGCTCCCCTGGGAGCCACAGGTAATTGGCATGTTGGGATACATATGTCACTCTAGCTTTTGTCTTTTCTTTCATTACGTGGGAGCGACATGGAAGAAAGAGAGAGAAAAGGAAAAATTCTGGTAAAATAAAATACAAAGATAGAGACTTATAAAAGGAAAGTATAATTTTAACTCAGACTTTCAATATGTGACAATGCATCACTCTGCTGACCATGCTTCGTCTTGGAGCGGGGAGCTCATTTGGAGGATAGGAAACCTACAGATGTAGGGCTCCTCGTGTCATACCCAGGAGCTCGTGGGAATGACAGGAAGGTGGCACTCTCTCTCACTCAAGTAGGATACTCCTTCCTCTGGGAAGAGCAGTTTAGATAACTACAGGCTACAGCTAGGGAAAATCTTCATGGCAGAGAGGAGCATGGCAACACAGAGAGCAAGAATCCCTCCTCCCTGGAGGTTAGGCTTAGAGCGATTCCCCCGACTTGCTTATGTGGGACTTGCTTATGTGGGTCGTAGGGGCAATGTCAGAGCAGGATGGGAACTGAAGGGCTGGGTTTTTTCCTAAGGATGTTTCTTCTCTTCCCTCCTACCCCTTATGGCCTCATGGCCAGGGTCTCCACGTAGTTTGTCCCCATCTCCTCCGGCTTCCCCCTCTCATCTCTAGTAAAGCTCTAGATCTTGGCTCTTGGAGGTGAGAGATCTGAGGAAGAGGATCAAGGGGGCTGGGCACAGTGGCACACACCTGTAATCCCAGCACTCTGGAAGGCCGAGGCAGGAGGATCATTTGAGGTCAAGAGTTCAAGACCAGCCTGGACAACATAGACCCTGTCTCTATTAAAAAACAAAAGAAACCAGCAGAGTAAACTTCAAAATGTCTTTTAACCCCTTGCTGACTAGATTCATGAGGTTTTCCCGTTCTTTCCAATCACTCACATCTCGCATTCACAACTCTTCTCTGGACCATATCACTGCTATTAAATCTGATCTCAGAAACTTCAGAGGAAAGACGCAAACAAGCAAAATGAGTTGTGCAGTCCCTACCATAGACAAGAATGCAAGGAAGCCTGGCAGCTCTCAAGGTGCCTAGGAAGGGTGGCCGGGGTGAGCGTGTTTTGCTCGAGTTGGGGCTTGATTGGCGTTGGGAGAGAAGCTTGAGGAAGGAGTGGGAGAGGCTACAGGAAACCCTAGCTTGGCTGAAAGCGGAACCTGGACACATTTGGTTTTCCCCTTCATGCTACCCAGCCTGCGTCACAAATCAGTTTCATTCTTAGTTCCGTTCTTCCGTGGGGTCAGCTGTCTCTAGTTTCCCTGTCCTAGGCTCCCCCCCAAGTGAAATAACTAGGCAGGCCCCATCCATCCGGGGTTGTACCTTTGCATCAGTACTGGGAAGGCAGTGGAAGAGAAGGGCAGAAACATCGTAAATAAGATCCAGGCATCTCCAGCCCAATCGGAGACTCCTCTGAGTGAGAAGCCAGTGTCTGGAGGAGCAGGGAAGATCTGAATTCCACAAATCCTCTCCTCAGGGCTGGGATAAATTTCACTCCTCCTATGTGCGTGGACAGGTGGCCCTGGCCTCCCCATCCCTAGAACTAGAATTGGGCAGCTGAAATTTCACCCTCAAACTGAAGGCTTGGAATGGGACATAAGAGAAAATGTCCTTCATCTCCCCCTCCGCCCCCTAGGTTTTGAAGCCTACCCATACACTTGGGAGCAGAATACATTCCCACGACAGCTGGGGGTGGGGTGTGTGTACAGAATGGTCAGGCTGTGTCTTTAGTGCCCTTTCTCTCTTGCTGGCCAGGTGAAGACCTCTTAATATCACTACCGGGACCTCCCCCCTTCAAATCTGAGGGAAGTGAGGAAAGTAGGCTGGGAAAGAAGGGTTAAGGGGGCATCAGGCATCAGCAAGAGCAACGAGTTGGGTTTTTTGTGGTTTTTTTTGATTGAGGTAAATAAAAAAGCTTTGTCCCGCAACCTGGGAGATAAGAGTCTGTCCACTCCCACGAGTTCCAGACTGCCCCCTCCTTCACATCAGGCTCTTCCGGTACTGACTGTGTGGGGCGGTCTGTCTGAGTTGGGAGTCGGGGGTCTGCAGGTCCATCTGCCTGTACAGGTCTCTCAGCTCCCTGACTTCCTGCAGCACCCTCTTCGCCTGGCTCCAGTTGGATGACGCCTCTCCCAGCAGCCGCTCCGTCTCCAGCAGCAGCTGCTCTGACTCAGAGTCAGGCGGAGACCGAGGGGGGTCCTTGGCCTTTCGCTTCCCGTCTCCCAGTCCCTGAACCTCTGCCAGCAGCTCCTGAGTCTTCTCCAGTTTCCTTGCTACCAGGTCCTGGATCCGGGACAGCTGTCCGGGGTGGGGGACGGCAGGCGTCGGAGGTTCCTCGGCCCGCAGCTGGAGGGCGCGGGCTGGGGCTGTGTCCCGCTGAGACAGGATCTCCTCCAGGGAGGCGCAGCGGCCTTTCTCCGTGGGGGTCAACTTCTTGGGTGCCTGGGGGGTGTAGGTGGCCCCCCTGTCCGGCTTCTCCCAAGGTCGGGGAAGGCTGCTTGCCCGGTCTGCGGAGGGCTGGATTCGGTCTGAGTCTGCTCTCCGCCGACTGCCGGCCAGCTGGGCCACAGACTTGTCCAGGTCAACCCGAAAGCTCTCAGCACAAGAAGTGGGCTCCTCAGGGGAGGGGTCTTCCTCTTGGATCAGGTCCAAGGTCAGCATCCCATCCGAGGTAGAGGTCGAAGCCTGGGAGGAAGGGGTGAATCGTTATCGGCAGGGATTTCAGGTATGGCTGCCTAAGAGCAGATGCTTCCACGATCGCCCTCAATGTGCCTTCCCGAACGCGAAGCCCTCGACTCCCAACTGAGTCTTCTGCTTCATCTGCTAGCTCTTATTCCTTCGACTGTGATCTGAACTTTTCTTTTTCTGTCATTTAATCTGCCCTGCGTGTCTCCCACTTTACTGGGAGCTCCCAAGGGGTGTCTTCTTCCTCTGTACTGTGAGCTCTAAGCATCAGTGGGGCCTGACACACGCAGGACACCCCCACGGCAGTCTTCTTCCATGTGCATCCTCACACACCTCAGGCCACCTGCTATTTGGAACTCAGAACCCCTTGCCTTAGAATAAAACTTGCTCTCTTACTTCCAGAATACTGTAATTTACAGAAAGTGATCAGGCACTCAATGCCTCATAGGTGGTAGGTAGTTAAGCACATGTTGTCTTAATCATTTCTCACCACAACCCTTCAAGGCAGGCATGATCGCTGCCCCATTTACAGTGGAGACATTCAGCTTCAGGGACCCACGCAGGCATTTAATAGGAAAGAGAGGTGCCGATTCAGGCTCTGCCTGACTCCAAAGCCTGTACTCTCTCACACCTGGCGGCCTCTCTCTCTAGAGCCTTGGCTGAATGGAAGAAACCACCACTCTGGATGTTACAAGGGTTCACTGGGGTCCTTTCTCCCCGAATGCCTGTGGCATGACATGTGTGACCCATCAGGACAGCTGGCTTATGGTGTCTTGTATGGTAGTCAACTCTTCTATTTTTCACTTTCCTGTAGGTATAACTCATTTCCCCCAAAAGGTGATAATATTATTGGGAGCAGGGACTTTTTTTTTATTGTAGAGATGAGGTCTCGCCAAGTTGCCCAGGCTGTTCTCAAACCCGCGGGCTCAGGCAGTCCACTCGCCTCGGCCTCCCAAAGTGCTGGGATTACAGGCTGAGCCACCGGGCCCGTCCTGGGAGCAGGGACTTTTGAACTCATAACAGGTGCTGAGTAAATATTTCTGATCTAGGTCAGACGGGGTGCGGGGTGGAAGAACTTCCCTCGTCTTTGCTCTTAACATCAAGGAGGCCTCCCACAGATGCCTCTGGGAGGCTGCTCTGTCTGGTGGACAGACACAGACAATTTTTACTTTATTATCGTTTTACCTACCACAGCCATTAGGTGTCCTCTAGTTGGGGGGCGGCGGGAGTGTTGGATTTTAGCTCTGTCCCGAGTGGGGTGGGCGAGACAGCTGTCCTCCTCAACGGTGACCTGAAGGGATGCACTGTGAGTCACAGGCGCTCTTCAGAGACTGTCCCAACCCCGCATGCCCCAAGGCCCGAACATGCCTGGACTGAGAACAAAACCCACCCCATTCACTGCTTCTGAGCAAACCCACGGGCAAAGGGATTTACTGGACGTGAATGGGCTCCCCAGGCTGACCCAAGCTGGGCTCATGCATCATGAGACAGGGGAGAGGCGTTGTCAGCAAAGGCTTGACGAGAAGGCAGGAGAACAGGGTTTCCAAAAGGGAGACAGAGAAGTCGAGCTGGGATAGAGTCAACGAAGCCTCCACAATAGCCCTCCCTCACTGCTCCCTCTGCCCCGGCATCCCTCTTCCCACAAGCCCCCTGACCTCATCCAAGATGCGGTTCTTGGCTCGGGTGATAGCGGAGTTGAGGGCATTGATCCATGATTCCTTCTCTTCTGGACTCACGGCTAGGAAGATCAGGTTGGGTGCCTGTGAGGGGAAGATTCTTGTTTCAGCCAGGGTTTTAGAGTTGGTGCCTCACCTTGACAGTGAAGAAATAAGAAATTATAATCTCATTCTCTCAGTCCCAGCTCCTAGAAGGACAGCGATTCTGCTTCCAGAGTCATCTATAACTTAAAGAAACCCAGTCTCTATTCCTACAAAATGCACAGCTTGAAGGTTGTTTTAGAAATGACCAAGGAAGAGTCAAGAAGGGTACTGGATATTGGCATTGGAGATAGTCAGAGGAAGTTTGATAAAATACAGGTATTAAAATAAAAAACTTTAAAAGTTTGAAGAAACAGAATGTGACAGGAATAACTTCCCTGGTTCCCTCAGACAAGAGGAATTTGATTCAGAACTTCAGTCACCTTTCAGGTACAGGGACTAGAGATCTTCTTCCATGAGGTAGGGGTGTGTGTGTGTGTGTGTGTGTGTGTGTGTGTGTGTGTGTGTGTGTGTGTATGTGTTTGTGTGTATGTAAGAGAGAGAAAAAAACAGAGACACAGATAGACCAATGTGAACTTTGTGTCTCAACAGGTTAAAGGCTGGCCTGCCTGGAGGGAAGGAAATGGCCACAGCATTCTCAGATTAAATAATAAAAGTCAGCATGAGAGCAATTTGGGGACTCTGAGCCACGATTGCCGAGAGGGAACCTGGGGGAAGCAGCTCTCCCTGCCCCCTCCAATCCTGTCAGTGTTCCAGGGGCCAAGATGGCAGGAGAAACCTACCGTGTTACCGGGCTGCTTGGAGTGGGCAAGAGTAAACTTGCTATGATTCTTCTTGCTCCTGCTCTTGGATTTCCGGAGTTCTTCACACTTCTCATAGTCACTCAGGTCAAATACCTCTTGACTATTTTTCTCATCTTTTACCTAGGGGAGGGGTGGGGGTGAGGTGAGGAGGATAAAATTATTTAGCTGCTCCACTCAAACTGTTAGCTTAGATCGTCTTGGGGACCAGAAGAAGCCCGGAGTGGGAGGGGTGACAGGACAGGAAAGGGCCGTCCTACCCAAAGCCTAGGAAGGCCTGACATCGGGGAACGAGACTAGGACAGCCTCCAAGTCCTGACTCCTCAGGTGTGTTTCTGTTTAAACCCCTGATCCACTCTCCTCAGCCAAGCTACCATTTCGGGAGTCCCTGTTATGCCTCTCTTCACCCATGACCCCACCCCGTACCTAAAGGACACAGCTGACAGGCCCTAAAAAGGCTCGTGTCCTTGGTGTGATCCGGTCGTCCTGAAGCAAGTAGGGTGGTCCAGAGGAAGATAAAGACAGGGCCACATCAGGGTGTCTAGAGGGAATGGAGGGCTGCCTCTGGCCACCCTATTCTTCTGCTTGCACTGTAGCTTCCCTAACCCACCTAGCTCTCTCCTCTACCGAGTACTACTGTAGAGACTCATCTTCCTGGTTCATTTCAGCAGCACCCTCTCCCACCCTGCTCAGTTTTCTGAGTTTGTTCATTAGTTCAGACAAGCTGGAAAATAAAACTGGAATTCCTACCCCTTCCTCCCTCCCTCCGAGGTACTGTGACAATCCAACCTCACTCCTCTAGACATCAGAGGCCATTGCCCTCATCCATCGATCTCTAGGTAAGGATGCACTTAGACTCTCCCTGGAAGACAGTTTCAGGCTTGGAAGGAAGGATTCTGCTACCTCCTTCCTTTACTCCAGTTTGAGCACCCGAGTCCCCTCACTGGCAGGAAGCGCTTCCTCAAATCTAAACATAGCCCTTCCTGCTGTAGTATCTGTCTTGCACTTGGCTTCCACCTTTAGCAGCTTCAAGCAGATTCAGCTCTTCACATCCTTGCTGAATGTCTCATCAGAGCCCACAATTCTATCTACATCCTCCAAGCCGTTCTGGCTTTTTCGGAGCATCACAAAGCAAATTCCATGAACATGTTTTCAAAGGTCCATTTTAACTCTCTCAGAAGTTTGTCCTCCTTTCCCCTAAGGTGGTATTCCTGACAGCTCTGGTCCTCCGAAGCAGTGGCTTATGGATCTGTTTTGGCTTGCAAGAACCAACGTTACAGAGAGAAGACTTAGTTATTGGCCTGTTCACCCTCTGCCACTTGAACCCGGGGCTGGTGAACCTGGGAATACCCCAGAAAAGAGTTGATCATGTTTTCCTGGGATGAGAAATGAAAACCACAAGCGCTAGTCTTGTTAAAACTAAACAGAGAAGAGTAGCCTCCAAAGAGCCCGCCCTTCTCAGGCTCAGAGAAGGGAATCGTGTGTACGGGTGGCCTCCGCTGTCCTTCTGGCTCTCGACAACCTTGAAGAGGAAGTGGTTCTCCCTCCATTCCCCAGCTCATCTTTAGTCTCGTATCTGCTCATTCTTCTGAATTGCTGCCGGACCCGTGGGCTGATGACAGACAGGAACAGACGATCACGCAGCCCCCATTCAGGCGAATGACTGCTCACACTTCAACTTTCATTGTATCAGCAAGACTTGGCTCCTTCAGGGCTCCCTGGCTCTGGACTTAGAAGTGACCAGAGGCTTCGAAGGATTATGGGTAGGAGTGGGACAAGGCGCTGGCAAGGGGTGTCCAAGAACAATTCCCAGAAGCAAGGGGCAGGGATGTAGGATGATGCCTCGCCCTCCTCTCCCCTCCTTTCCAGAGCTGAGACTATCAGCAGAGTCCAGAAACCTTGGAGAGGAAAATGCTGGGTGTGTGACTAACCAGGGGAAGAGAGCAACTTGTCCTGTTTTCCTTAGAGGAAGGGAAGGGAGGGAGTCTGGCTTCCACGCAGGCTGATAAGGGCTCTGGGGAGCAGGGGACATTGACAGAGGTCAGCCTTGGTAGGACAGGGTAGGACCGGGGGGGAAGCAGTGCCCGGGGAAGATGGACACCCCCACAGCCTTGCTCTCCACTGTACTGTTTTCCCCCCATCTAATTCCCAAAGTCTCATTTATAATTATCCATCTTCCACATTAACCCTTCCTTTCCTGATTCTTTGTCCTTGCCTACAGAAAGGGATTTTCCCGTGCTCGCCAAAAGTGTTGCCCTGAATCCAACTTCTTCTGCTGTGAGGTCTAGTTTCTGCTCTCATACATCAGCCCATGATCAAAAGGTGCTCTGGCCCTCTCTGAGAAAGGGTACCCTTTGACTGACAATGAGGCAGGGTCAGCAACAAACACAAGGAATTCTATGGCGGAGGCAGTTGTGGCAGACCCTGCCTTTATGAGTGGGGAAGTAACAAAAAAGTTTAGTGCAGGTTCTGGGAAAGAGGGTTAGGAATTGTCTTTCTCTCTCTTTTTTTGTTTTTTTGTTTTTGAGTATGGGTCTCACTCTGTCGCCCAGGTTGGAGTACAGTGGCACACTCACAGCCACCCCAGTATTGACCTGCTGGGTTCTGGTGATCCTTCTGCCTCAGCCTTCCAAGTAGCCGGAACTACAGGCACACACTACCATGCCCAGCTAATTTTTTGACTTTTATTGTAGAGACGAGGTCTTGCTAAGTTGCTTGGGCTGGTCTTAAACTCGCAGGCTCGGGTAATCCACTTGCCTTGGCCTCCCAAAGTGCTGGGATTACAGGCTGAGCCACCAAGCCCAGCCTTCTTTCTTTCTTTTTCTTAGAATCAGGGTCTTGCTCTGTTGCCCAGGCTGGAGTGCAGTGGCACAATCATGATTCACTGTAGCCTTGAACTCCTGAGCTCAAGTGATCCTCCTGTCTCAGCCTCCCAAGTCACTAAGACTACAGGCATGCACCACCATACATTTTTTTTTTTTCTTTTTTAGAGACAGGGTCTCACTATGTTGCCCAGGCTGGTTTGGAACTCCTGGCCTCATGTGATCTTCCTGCCTCAGCTTCCCAAAGTGCTGGGATTACAGGCATGAGCCCAGCTCAGGAATTTTCTTGCATTAACAGTAAATTATGTGTATTATACTCTGTGTTTTGGCACTGGGGCTTTTGGGAAATGGGCAGAGTAAAGCTACAGTCCTCTGTCATTTTCATCCGTAGCCCAGGACCACCATAGCACAAAAACTGGCTCTAAAGATGAGTCATATTGGCCAAGTACGGTGGCTCATGCCTGTAATCCCAGTACTTTGGGAGGTGGAGGCGAGAGGAATGCCTGAGTCCAGAGGTTTGAGACCTGCCTAAGCAACTTGGCAAGACCTCAACTCTACAATAAAAAAAACAAAATTAGCCGGGCATAGTGGTGCGCGCCTGTGGTTCCAACTACTTGGAGGGCTGAGGCCAGAAGGATTGCATGAGCCCAGCAGGTAGAGGCTGTGGTGGCCATGAGTGTGCCCCTGTACTCCAACATGGGTGACAGTGAGACTCCGACTCAAAAAAAAACAACAAAAACGAGTCATATCAACATGCTTGGTCCTTCTTTTCCTGTGCCCTTCCCAGAAGGAGACAGCTGGCCCCATGACCAGTCAGATGCTCCTGACTCATAGGACACCAGACATCCCAGGCTGAGGTGATTACAGCCTTTCCCCTGTCTCTGGACCCCTTCCTCCACAAACAAGGATCAATCATTCTCTTTTACCCTCAGACATTGCACTTTGGGCAAATACAGACAAGAAAAAAAAGCCTTATTCCTTCTACCCTCTCTTATATTTTTTTCCCTTTGACGTGTAGGAAGTTCTCCCCGACTGTTCACTAGAGTTTCCTGCAATTATGAAATTCGGGGAAGACAGGAGATACCATTTGACACCTGCTTTTTTTTTTTTGATACTGGAAAGCCAGAAAATCATAGAGAAAATTTTCTGTAGGATTTGAGATTGGGTAGAGGTAACCCTTAAAAATAAGTCCCCCTGTCTAAATCTTCCCTCGCCTCACTCCTAAGGCTCCCCATCACCAAGAGCCTAGCTTAGCGTAAACAGCTGGGCTTCCACACCCTTAAGAGGGATCATTTTGGCTCTGGCACAGCTTAGCGCTTCCCTATTTGCCTCGGTAGACGTTCTCAGATGAGTACTTTCTCTTGGACTGCGCATGTTATCTGTTTCAATACCATAAAAGGATTTATTTACCTAAATATAATCTACTGAATAAGAATGTCTACTGAAGAAAGCAGAAGAGGCTAGAATTCAGGGAGGACTTCCCAGTTCCCTAGGTGAGGGAACACAGAATTAGGGGAGGAAGGGCCATCCTGGCAGGTCCTGGGACAGTCTCCCAGGCTGTACTGACACAGTCACAGAGGTAGGGAGTGGAGTGACTTCCAACTGGGGAGGCAATTCCAATTTCTCAATATCACTAGGTGTGATTGCTCCCAAGAGTTAGGGATAAAAAGGAAGAAGAGTCTCGATTTAATGACCCGGGCTCGTGTTCTGACAGTGTGGATTGTGGTTTTATGGTTAACTACAGAGCCAGAGCTGTCCAGAGCCACACAGGGGTCCATACCACCGTTTTTCTCCCTTCCGATACAAACGAGGGGTGGGCAGGAAAGGGGTGGAATACGAGTTCCTTGCCTTTTAAAAAACGTGGAGTGGGGGTGGGGGGCAGAGCATACTGGTTAGGGACATTGGCTTCCACAAAATATCTGCCACTCACAGATAGTCACAGAGGACACAGGAGACTGACCCCGGGTTGAGTGTGTGTCCTCTATGATGGAAAGCGGATGTGCTGCTGATACGACCTGGGCATGCCCCTGTCACAGACAGGAAAGGGGAGACAGGAAGGTGTGGAGAATAAGCGAAACAGAGTTCCAGGAGCAGCAGCAAAGGAAAATAACCCTTTAATTAGGAGGCCAGGAGGGGGTAAGGAGGCGGCAAGGAACTTCTGGGACTTCTTGGGAGGGGATACACCAAAGGGTACTGGCCAAGAAAGAACACTGAAAAAGAGGCAAACCCAACTTCCTCCTCACTCAGGTCCTCTCACTAAAGGGTGACCTTTCTCTGCGGCTAGGACGGGGCAGGGTCCCACTGGACCGCTCAACTTGCTTTGGGAACAAAACGGGCTGGAGTCGGGCAGCCGGGCCCCCCGTGGAGCCACAAAGTGGGAAAGGGAGCAACCAGGGG